AAAAAAAAAAAAAAAAAAAAAAAAAAAACATTATAAGGACACCTGGAGAAACTTGAATGAAGTGTGAGAATTAGGGGCAGCAATGTATCCACGTTAATTTTCTGATGTCAGTGATTATATTGTGCTTATGGAGGAGAGGGTATTGTTTAGAAGAAACATAAACCGGTCAGAGGTGACAGGGCCTTAGGTCAGAAACTCAGAAAAATAACAGTCCTTTTGCTGGCCTTCCAGCTGTTTTATATTTGTAGTTGTCTCAAATTAAAAAAGAAAAAAAAGGGCTTCCCTGGTGGCGCAGTGGTTGAGGGTCCGCCTGCCGATGCAGGGGACGCGGGTTCGTGCCCCGGTCCGGGAAGATCCCACGTGCTGCGGAGCGGCTGGGCCCGCGAGCCGTGGCCGCCGAGCCTGCGCGTCCGGAGCCTGCGCTCCACAGCGGGAGAGGCCGCAACGGTGAGAGGCCCGCGTACCGCAAAAAAAACCCCACAAAGATATGAAAAAAGGAACTGTTCCAAGCAGTGTAACGATCTTTAAGAACAAGGTCAAATTTGCAGGTGCTGGCTACAGTAATCATTTCCCTCCCCCAAGAAAACAGATATTTTCAGCTGAATATCAAATGTTTATTCTTTAGTTTCCTACTACTACAAAAATCTATTTCATAATTAGCTCCTCTTAAAACCAGTTTTTATTTCACAGAAATTGTATTCTTTAATAATTCACTTTGAAATGTACAGGGCTAAGGATGAAGATGCTTCAGGGCACAACTTGGACAACCAGGAGAAGCAGACCATATGAGAGTGGTCCTCCCCACTTGACGCCCACGCAGAAACCTGCAAACAACTCAGAGAACACCTCTGCCAAGACAGCCAGGTTGCCCAAGTCAGCGAAACACCGTACTTGATGCAAATTACACATTCAGTACTGTACTGTACATATCCAGCATTACACATGCTTAAAATAAGTATGCATAATGACATATGAGGTCTCACTTTTAAAGTAAACTATAAGCAGGCAACTACAAGTTTTAAAACTACTAAATAATCCCTTTTTTACCTAAGTTGGAAATATTGTTGCATACACACTGGCTGCTTCAGAAGCCTTGGGCATGCAGACAGGAAGTGGAGGAAGTATTTCAGCTAAGAATAATCACATGTCACAATGCACTTAAGAGTCTTTCCAGCTAAACCAAATTCAAAGGAAGACTGCCTTGAAGGGCCAGCGTCGGTTTCCTCCTGGCTAAGGAGAGTTTCTCAATTCTGGGAATTCCACCCAGGTCTGGATGGCTGCTCCAGGCTGATGGGGGCTGTTTCAACCTATAAAGCCCAGAGGCAGTGCGGCTGTAGTTTGGCAGTGACCTCTAGGAACTGCAGGTTTCATGCTGAATAGATCATGGGCTCTATCTCCCAGGGCAATGCTTGACAGTGAAAGATGGATTCCTTTGTTTGCTTGCAATTTTGGCAGGATCTCCAAAACTAGCCTAGCTTGTAATTAATAGCACCATGAAAACACAGATAATGGTAGAAAAGGATATCAAAAAATGAAGTCACTTTTGATTCTGGGCAATGTTTCCTACTACTGGTGTCAATGAGTCAGCAAAGTAAACCATTTGAACTGAGTTTAGGAAAATAAGATATCTTTCTGGAGCAAAAAATATGCTTATTTAGGGAGAATATAGGCAAGTTATAGTCACTAGGCTGCAGCTGTATATATGAAACTAAGCAGCAGAAGGAAAAAATGTAGACATAGCTCCCAACTCAGCATGTCTGTCAAGTACTTATGTGGAAGTATTTTTAAAAGGAAAATTGAGGGCAGAAGAAGGCACCTAAATTGCTTGTGCAGTGGTCACCTGGGGTTCAGAAGTTGGAGAGGATTACTGTGTTCCACTGTATTAGTAGGCTATCCTTACATATCCGCACCTCAGAGATCAAATAACTGCAGTTTTGAAGCATCCCCCTCTACTGCCTGATGATAAAAGGAATGCTCCTCCCTACAGAAAGAAGAGGTAGTCTGTTAGTGAAATGCAGACAGACTGTGGCCCTCAGCTGCCCATTTGCTTTGCAGATTCCATACCCTTGACATCTTTAAAACATTTTTATAGATGTGTTTGTTTTCCTGGCTGGTGCATTGCTTAGAAGCAGATCTGAAGACAGGGTTTCCATCCCAGTGAGGTCTGTTTGTTGAGCACACACAAGCTGGCCTTTCTATAAAGCTAGTTGCGAGAGGGTATTTGTTTTGAGAGAACTCAACAGTACTAAGGCAGTCTGTTAAAATCCCTATTGACTGATATAGTCACTGGTCCAGACTGAACAAAACATCAGCAAAAGATGGATGTAGTCAAATCAAGTCAGACTGTCTGTGGTCCAGGAAATAGAGAATCTTGCTCTTCAAGTTGGAGGGAACTGGCCAGTGTGGCTCATGCCTGGGTGTCAGAGAGTTCCAAATTACGGGTCACATCTGTAACAAAAATTTAGCATAAATTCTTTAAAAGCTTTCCACGTGCCAATCGCCTTCAGCAAGGCTTCCCCTTTCCTCTGCCTCCTGTAAACACGCACACACACATGAGCACACACACACAGGCAAACACATACCCCGTCCAAACTCTTCTTTATGCTTCAAGACTGAGCACCAATTCCATGTTTTCCATGGAGTTTTACCCAGCCCACTCTTGACTCTTATTGCAAACTTTGTCTGAACTCTACCACTTTGCAATTAATTGAGGACTTTTAACACTATCACGTGACTCCACCCTCCATGCAAACATATTACCTCTCCCAATGACATTATAAACTGAAGACAAGGACTGTCTTAGGTCTTCCCTCCCTCTACCCAACACACATTACTCAACACGGTGTTATTCACATAATAACAAATATTTGACAGAGGTGCTGAGTCATGCTCTGCCTGGAATTGTATATGTGTAATGCTGCCGGAATACAGAAGAAAGACCCTGCCTACCCTCAAGAAGATAGCCCTACACTGGAGCTACGCTCTGGCCTACACTCTGGCCATTTTCAGTTACTATTTGTTTACATGTAACTGCAAGATATATGCTAGGCTTGGTAGATGGGGCACGAAACTACCCTCCTCTGATTTCAGCTGCACCACTTCTGAGCATGCTGACTATTCTAGCAAAATAGCCTCACCCTGCATTTCTCTGCTCTTCTGCCTCAGGGCTTTCTCTGAAGGCTTAAGAGCAGTCTCACGGCATGCACAGAGCAAGGCTCAGGAACAAAGGAGAGTAATGCATCCTGCAGGCAACCCCAAGCCAGTGGGGATGGGAGCCAATGGATAAATGCCCCATTTGCCATCCTTCAGAAGAACAATTCTGGGAGACAGCTGTATACTTCTCAGAAGTCCTGTGGCCTCTAGCTGAGATCTTAGTAATGCAACCTTCATCTGCTTTTCTGCCTTTCCTGTCTCCCTCTCCCTGTTCCCTCACCCCTTCTTCCTTCCAAATAAACTACTTGCATCCAAGTGTCTGTCTCAGGGTCTGCTTTCAGGGACCCAAATTAAGATAGAAACATTATTATAAGCACAGAGATTGAGAGAAAAGATTTTTTTTCCAATAGCAGAATAATGAAACACAAGCTCTTTGCTAGTGTCAAAGCTATGGTATCAACTCTCTGGAGAACCAAAGAATCACTGAACACCAGAAGAAACATCAATTTCTTTCATCTAAAAAAAATGAGGACTAAAGGAGATTTAGCCCCTTCCCGCGCTTTGATTCCATGATTACAGGTGTTTTGTTCATCCCTTTTATACAAGTCCTTTACCACTGAGTGGTGGCAAAAATACAGTGGCTTCTGTCTCATTATACACCTTCCATCACTGCGACCTCAAAGGGATAAGATTTACAAGAATGGATATTTCAGACTTTCTGGGATGGTCCTCAACTTAAGAACACTGCAGTTGACAACACTCACCCTGAATGAAAAAGGTCAAAGTCCCACCTAACTGACTTCCACAGCCATCCAATTTCTCCAACCATGCACATTTTTTACGTTGAAATAACAATACCTTCACCAATTTCTCCTTCTTTCCCTTGGGAATACCAGCCCAGATCATTCTTCCAAACCTCAGTCGAAAACCTTCATATCTGTGTATCTCCCACAGTGCCTCACTCAGTAATTTACACTAAAATGATATTCAATAAATCTCATCGTATGACTTAATGAACTTTTTAACAAGGAAGACTTAGAATCACCCCAATTTTTAAAATATCGATTGGAAGATTGCCTTGATACCATAGGGGTTTATGAACTTTTTGGTTTTTTTAATAGTGGTTTACAAACATGTTTTCAATGAACTAGAGAGAGCATCAGTTCAGTTAAAATGAAAATTTGACTTTTTACAGAAAATACTAGAGACATTTTCCCTTCCTTTAAAATAAAAAATTAAAAT